CAGAATGCAAAGAGAGGTTGAAGACTGATGCTAAAGGTGCAGCCAGCACTCCAATACAATTCTTAATAACCGCGGAAGGGATTCCGTCAGGGTCACTGCTGTAATAATTTTTCTAACGAAGGCCTGTTTTACGAACATCATTAGTCAAGATAGGTGGATGCGTTTCAACAGCAGAAAGTACGGGAACCTCGCTTACGGTGGCCACGATGTGCTCGTTAGGTAAATTTTCTTTCACGAAGACACTGCTGAATTGTAACATGAACAGGTCAGCGATTCCCTCCGTAGCAGACTCTTCTCGATCCGTATTGTAGATGGTAGAAGGTAAGCCCGATTGCTTCCATTGATCATTCACATGATTGCAGAAGCTCTTGCTTTGAGTTTAGATTGTAGATGGCACTGATGGGCTTGAACAAATTTGTTTGTTGAGCTGCTTATACTGTTTGTTAACGAGATTGTACTTCCTCTTGGATGTCTCCGTTCGAAGTTTACAAAATGTCTTCAAGGCAGCTCGGTTGGATGACTTCAGTTGCTTGAGTCGGTGGTTGGACCAAGGAAGGTTACTAGATATGGGTGGAGTTGTCACGGGTACAAACTGATCGATCGCATAAACGACAATCACCTCTATTCCCGTTTTCGTACGAACCGGATTCGTTCGAAACGAAAGCAATTTCCCATTCCCGTTTTCGTTCGAAGCAATTCTAACTTTCGAACATCGGCTTTGGTACCATTGTGCAGTGGATGGTCCTCCGAAAGATCCAAAACATCCGTAAAAAGGCTCAATCGATGGAACTGATCCAAGAACTCCGTTTTTTTTTTTCGTAAACTCTCATAGACGTCTTATAATTATGAATTCTGAGTTATGATTGGAAAACAGACCCTGGAGACCATGAACGCTCCTCTGGAAAATAATAGACAACTCATCAGAATGAACTCGGAGTTGTGACTGGAAAATGGACCCCAGGGTCCATTGGATGGTCCTTCGGAATATCCGCAACATCCATTAAAGTGGATAGGTCAAGAAAACTGATCTAAGCACTCTATGGTTTTTTAGAACTGCTCATAGACACATTTTTTTTTTATTTATTATCATGGATGATTTCTAGGTGGTATTTAAGTATTTAATAACTTCTAGACACTTTTAACGGAATTTTTGATGATCTTCCGGATCTTTTAATGGACCATCCCGTGGTCCCCAGTATAAACTGTCTGGTCAAAACACCGATTTTATTGCGATAAGATGTCTATGAGTGCTTTCTAAAAAATCGTGGAGCTCAAGGATCAATTTCATGAATTGAGCACTGTTAGGGATATTCCGGATCTTCCGGTGGACCATTCTGTAGTCTCCATATTCTTATTTCTGAACACAACTCCAAATACATTCCGACAAGACGTTTATGAGTGGTTCCGAAAAATCCGTAGATCTCTAGGATCAGTTTAATGAATTGACCACTTTTACGGATGTTCCGGATCTTCCGGTGGACCATCATGTAGTCCCCAGAGTCCAAATTAAGGTCACGAATACATTCTGATAAGACGTCTATAAGTGGTTTGAAAAATCCACGGAGCTCTAGGATCAGTTTCATTAATTGACCACTTTTCTGATGTTCCGGATCTTCCGGTGAACCATCTCGTGGTCCGCAGGGTCCATATTCCAGTCACAACTCCAAATTCATTCTGATAAGACGTTTATGAGTGGTTTTGAAAAAAACCGCGGAGCTCTAGGATCAGTTTCATGAATTGACCACTTTTACGGATGTTCCGGTTCTTTTAGTGGACCATCCTGTAGTCCCCAGTGTCCATATTTCGGTCACAGCTCCGAATTCATTCTGATAAGACGTTTATGAGTGGTTTCTAAAAAACGCGGAGTTCTAGGATCAGTTTCATGAATTGACCACTTTTACGGATATTCCGGATCATCCACAGGATCAGACTTGTATTCTACCGGAAACTGAATCGTCCGAAAAGGTGGCAAACTTTCTGCTTAACAACTTCTCAGAAGACATCAGGAAGTTATCTTTTCAAATCAGTGAAATTTTCAAATTTTCTACCAAAAAATTTCAACAATGTTATTGTTTTGTTGACATCGTTTGACAGTCCACTTGACTGAATAATGTCAATTTCGTGCGCGATCTATGCTTCGAATTGGTAAGAAATGTCAAAGTGCATCTGGTACCACTAACACTGTTTATTTTCGAAAAAGCTTGCGTTCGAACCGTGATGTATATAAGTAATCTTGATAGATCTTGATTAGCTGAATATAGGCAAACGAAATAGAAGCTAAGCGATCGTGTCAGCCTCTAGTGGAAGAACCCTCAAAAGAGTGATGAGGGCTGAAATTTTCGCCGTGAAGTATACGCCTTTTTGATAGAAACTAAGCGATCGATTCAACCTCTGGTGGTGAATAGGACAACGTCAAAAAGAGTGTTGTGAGCAGAACATTTTGGCCGGGAGACATAGAAAGCGGAACACTTTTTCACTTTTCCTGATAAATTGATTCATCTGAGATGCTCCAAAACTTGATCTACAGTTGTAAAACTTAACTCAAGGTTGCAAAGACTCATTTCAGCTAAAATAATGTTTTTCGGAATAATAAAACCAAAAGATGGTATGATGGCATGTTTCACTTGTAACTTACAAGAAGAGGTTACAAAGTATGCGTTGGAAACATAAAACCTGTAAATTTTGCTTTCTATGAGTCACAATCAGCGATTTGCTGATCGCTGAGTGAGTGAGTGAGTGAGTGAGTGAGTTTGTGAAAAATCGCTGATTGTGACTCTCATGAAGTGAAATAAACAGGTTTAATATGTCAAACCCATTCTTTGCAACCTCTTCTTGTATCCTACCAATTCAAAATTTGATCATGGCATCTAATTATTTCATAATTTAGAAAAACATTGTTTTAGCTAAAATGAGTCTTTGCAACCTTGATTTAACTCTGTATCATTTTTGCAAGGATCTTGCTAGTGTTCAGGAATATTTTTGTTGAGAAAAATGGGAAATTATAATAGTGCCTTAGTGGTTATGATCATTCGGATTTCTTGCGTGTGACTAATTTAGGTGCAAATTAGTTCAGATATGTGGAAAAATCGTATAATTAGGCAATTACTGATGGAAATAGACAAGATGTTCAATGAAAAATGCTGTAATTTGCGTTGTGTTAAATCCTTATTCGGATGTACACAAACGGTTTGACTGACGTTTCCTCTCGAACTAGCATGGTGCCTTCTACGTTGGTGATGCATTGAAAAGGCCTATAGAAAGGGAATATATTTTCACCTTTCCTGCTTAATTTATCCATCGCAGGTGCTTGAAATCGTTATCCACGTGAAACATTTTGTTTTCTTTATCGATTTTGCAGTAATCCGGCTGGTGCTTCCACATATTTTTAAAGAGAAAAATTAAGATTTATAAAAAAATTGTTCCAGCGGTTATGATCTTCCGGATCAGAGGCCCGGCCGGAGGCTGAATCAATCGCTAACCTTCTATTTGATTCGCCTCTAGAAAAAGGCTATAGGCGAATCCAATTGGAACTAAGCGATTGTTGCAGCCTCTAGCGGTGAATAGGGAAACCCTCGAAAGAGTGATGAGGGTCAAAATTTTCACCGTGAAGCATAGGATCAGGAAAATACTTTCACCTTTCCTGATTAATTTATCCACCGCAGGTGCTTTAAATCATCATCCACGTGGACTATTTTATTTTCTGTATCGGGTTGGCAGTGATCCGGCTGGTGCTTCCATATATTTTTGATGAGAAAAATTAAGATTTATTAAATTGTTCCAGCGGTTATGGAAATTTGCAAGATGTGCAATAAAATGTACATTGTTTTGAGTTTTGAAAATCGTGATTATGATGGAAAGAGCCTAAAGAAAGATGGTCGCTGCTTAGGTTGCCGAGAATACGTAAATTCTCCTATCTAGTAAGGGGTGAGACAATTTGAATATATTTGCAAATATCTTCAACTATTTTTAAATATAAATATTTTTAGGAACTAAAACAGGTTCAAAATAGAGCTATGTGTGTTGAACAACGTTTGTTCTACATATATATTTATGACTTAGCCTGTGCCTTGAAAAGACAAATATTAACAAATATTTTGATATATTCAGCCAATGTGTCCCGCCAGGTTGTAAGATGATTTTCCTGATGATTCTTTTAATTTCATTTCTGACAATCCCCCGCTTTTTTTTTCGTGATGAGTATCGACATTATTTTTTACGTAGAAATGGCATCACTGCCGTTGATGCGCCGAAGTTCACCTCGACACCTCAACTTGCAAGGAATTCACCCTCGTTCCTAACTACCACCCCGGATGATAGTGCCGGTTTCATTCCACCCTCAACCAAACACCATCACGCGATTGATGAAAGCGGCAGCAAATTGGCTGTTGATTGTTGTTGTGCCACCATACCCACAACCCACCCTACCCATTCCAAGGGATACCAACGGTACCCATTTCGAACTCAACACGTTTCACCTTAACTGACTGATTTGGATTTGAATTTCAGGGCAGGCAAGTCTGGCGAGGGCCATATCATAAGCGCTGACAGTTCCAGTCAGGCACCCTCTAGCAGATAGGTAACCCGGAATAGAAGGCTACAGGGCAGGAAATGCCTCCCACTTTGAGCTTCTTGCTCCGCTGCCCGTGCGAAATAGGCAGCTTAATTTTCTTTTAATTTCCGATCCTGGCTCGGAAGCACGAACTTTCTTTTGAGCCTCTCGAGACAGGACGTGGAAGAGATACCCGTAGGTTCATGGAATGTTATGCATCCGAAAAAAAAAGAAAGAGACACATCAGGAAGACACGACATGAACTTTTCTGTTTTCAGTTGAACAGGAAAAGAAGACATCCGAACTTCCTGCTGCACTCGCCCAGCACTTAAGATATGTTGATTCGTTTGAGAAATTCAGTGTTTGTTATGGCAGTTGCCAGGGAGAGTCGAAGAAACACATCAATGTGAAACATGTGAGACAATCGCCATCGCAGGCTTTGGGTACTTACCAGCAGCAGAAGCCGCCAAACTCCTCGTTCTCGTTGGCTGGAGCATTGACACTGCGGAACAGTGCGCCCAGCATGAGTCACAAGACGTGCTGGCATACGCTTTTTGCCCGGGCGTCATTAGATAGATTGTTGATTGTAGATTGTTGATTGATGAATGGTATAGATTGTTGATTGTTGATTGAAGATGCAGTCGCCGGACACTGACGATTTTCGGATTAATAGATTGATTGAAGAGCCGGAACAGGTTGATTGATGACGGCAACTGACGCACACGGAAGCGTTGCCAGTTGTATTCGGGGTTTTTTTTTCTTCTCTCGATTGTATCGTTGCAAGGGAAACGTCACTTTTTAATTGGTGGGATTTTAGTTGCTCGAATCGATCAATTGTACGTGTTTATGATGGTTGGGAGAAGGTTAAATAGTTTTTTTTTCTGATTTGTTTTAATTTACATGTTACATAACTAGATTATCGATAATTAATTGGGCTAAATGATGCTATGATTCAGTGTTTTTGCATTTCATTTGTTTTGGTTTAGCTAAGTTCGTTTTGTACTCGGAAACTCTACGGATCATTTACATGTCTTGTGTCATTTTTTGTTTGTTTGTTTAATGGATAATTTTTTTTTTAATTAAGTTGTAAATAACTACAGGAAGCAAAGCATGTCTATCAGTTTTCTTTATGACGAAACTCTACGGAAGCGGATAATGTTCATGGCTTCTATGCACTTGGATTTTATGATGTTAGAAAAGTTGATTTCAATAGTTAAGCAATATTTATCAGCTCGTTTGTTTACAACTTTTTACAGTTTCAATGTATACGTTCTCCGGGAGGAGGGGGTAAACGATATGTCATTTATTTCTCACTTTGCTACTTGTATTTTAAATATTTTGTTTTCGTTTATATATATAAAATGGTTAACCTGAATTGCTGCTACGTTTGACGTTATTATCATTAGTTATTATCGTATTTGCTTATTAGTACTGCTTTTCGACTTATTTTTTTACAGGATATCAAGTATTTGCAGGATCGATTTTTTTGATTTTCACCTCCGTTTGACGGTTGTTGTTCTTTTGATTGTTTTAAATAGAAAGGTATACATTTATGGTATGGTTTTAATTTTGTTTATAGTACATATGTGTGTTTCCCTTGATTCAAGCTCGCATGATAAATGTACAGGATTTATAGGTTGATTTCGATCGACTGAGGATCGGCAGATTCGATCACTTGTTTCTTGAGCAAGTAGTATTTGTGATATTTAGGAAGTAATCCCTCGCCTTGGATTTGATCTTATGGAAAGCCCAAACATACCTTCGGTGCGATTCGAGCTTACGGAGATCGAGCAGCTCGGTCGTTTCGGTTCCGTTAGTATTCTGTGGATAGCCGTTCGGCGTCGGATAACGGCGGGTGTACAGGGGTATTGCGGGTGGCGAAGACATGTTGTTGAGCACTTGCTGTAGAAACTTTAGAGAGCTGAAAGTGGAGAAATGGGAAAGAGAAAAATCAATCAGTATGGTAATTGGAAAATATGTTAATCGTTAATAGATCAGTTAGGTATTATCAAATCTATTAGAAATATATGCTACTCAGAGCTGGATCCTATGTTTGATCTGAGTATTATCAAATCTGTTATATGTTATAAGTATGTAACAAAAGGATAATAAAGTTTTTGAGATATTGGTACATGAATGCTCTTTCATAGACTATCGAGGCGAAAGTTTAAGAATAAATTATTGCTGGTCCATTAATAATGAATCACTCAATCATATATTGTAAGTGCCTGGAGTTGGACATGATGCAGAGTCGCACGGCCGATGCGATTGACTGTTCACTCAAAATCACAAAAACATAGTAACATAGTAAATTTTTCTCGATTTTCCTCAAAAATCTGCTCGAATATGAGGAAAATTGACGAAAAATTTACTCAGTCTAGGAGTGACCTATGTTTTGAAAATTTAATTGAGCAGAACTCAAATATATAAAAGATACAGATTTGAGCTTTTTTCGAATGTTGTAGCCAATATCAAAACCTACAAAAGCTTCATACATTATTTTACGGGATTGATTTTCCATGCCTGTTCAGGATAAGTTTGTTTACATCATGGTTTCACCGGAGCAAGCACGTTGTGTTTCGATCCTGCACGCTCGAAAGTAAAATCCCGGTTTATCCGCCCGAGACTTAGCAAAACTTTTGAATTTGCCTGTTTTCGATCAAATTCCTGGGCAGGAATTGAATGTCTCGATTGACCGGAAGAATGTAAAATCAAAGAGAGGTCGAAATTCCCCAAAAATTTCCTTGTCATTTTTTCTTGACCTGATGACCGCCATCTGGGATTCCAAAATGACGTCTGGCATCGATTTCCGTCCTCTACACGTCGTCCCCTTTCCGAAAATACTCATATTGTAGGGTATTCGACAGTTTTTCTTAACCCGATGGTCGCCATCTTGAATTCCAAAATGACGTCTGGCAATGTTTTTACTGAACCGACGGCCGCCATCTTGGATTTGAAATCGGCCACTGGCATCGATTTCTGGCCTCTACCCGTCGTTTCCTTTCAGGAAATACTCTTATTGTAGAGTATTTGACAGTTTTTCTTTACCCGATGGTCGCCATCTTGGATTCCAAAATGGCGTCTGGCATCAATTTGCGGCCTCTGCACGTTGTTTTTTTTTCCGAAAATATCCATATTGTAGAGTATTTGACAGTTTTTCGTGAAGTGATGGCCGCCATCTTGGATTTCAAAATAGTGTCAGAAATCAATTTTCGGCTTCTACACGTCATCCCTTTTTCGGTTCCTGTTCTCACATTGCACAGCAACATTTTATATGGACGAGCTTGCGAGACATAACATACTAAGGAAGTTCATGTGCACACTAGCACCGCGTAGTGAGAGAGTTCTGAAAAAAATATGACCATCATTCGAAAGGACTTGGTCACTTGAACAACTTTGCTGAAGACAGTAACCTTCCCAAGTAACAATTTTGGTTTTATGCGGGTTCTATAGACCATGATTTAGACTTGTAGAATGCTATAAAACCTTTATAAATCATGCAATGTTACTTGGGTTCTATATGGCCAGGTTCTCGAGATACAGCTTATACAGGAAGTTCACTTGCACGCTAGCTTCAAGAGAATCTACATCGTCAAATGTGGTAAAGGTTACGTCATCCCAGATGCTTTTGGCTACCGCTATTGTCATCATTCAGGACAGGCAAGGATCACGCTATCCAGCTCGTGCCCTACTCGACTCTGGTTCGGAATGTAATTTCATTTCGGAAGATTTGAGTAGGTTGATGAACGTCCCCAGCTACAAGGTCGATATTTCAATCCAAGGAGTTGGACAGGCAAACACGAGGGTCACCCGAAGGGTTCAAGCTACGGTTAAATCTCGGATTTCGTCATATTCCCGAACTATGGACTTCCTAGTACTGACAAAAGTTACTGCATGTTTGCCTACTGCCTCGGTGCAGTCTAACAGATGGGAGATACCGGAAGGAATCGGATTTGCAGATCCAGAGTTCTTTCGATCAAGAAAGCTGGATTTGGTGTTAGGAGTCCAAGCCTTCTTCAACTTCTTCCAATCCGGACGAGAGATTCCACTGGGCGACGGACTGCCTACACTCACTGAATCGGTCTTCGGATGGGTGATATCCGGAGAAATCAATAGAGCAACTAAGGGTTCAAGATTCTCATATAACCTCGCAGTCTCTGACAATTTGGAGGAACTATTGTCACGGTTTTGGTCCAGCGCAGTTTGTGCAGTTTGAGTGTACTGTTTGAAGGGAAGCAGATGGTCGATATACGGTGACTTTTCTTAAAAACGAGCGAATCTTGGAACAACTGGGATAATCTAAGGAAATAGCGCTGAAACGTCTACAAAGTGTGGAAAGAACACTGTCAAGGGACCCTAATCTCAAAAAACAATACAACAGCTTCATGGCAGAATATGCTGAGCTCGGTCATATGAGGGTTGTGAAGGATACGGACGAAGAGGTGGTGAAACGAGTCTTTCCACCCCATCATTCAGTTATCAAGTAGGCGAGTACCATAACCAAGGTCAGGGTGGTGTTTGATGCATCCTGCAAAACATCAACGGACGTCTCCCTAAACGATGCGCTGTTTGCAGGACCGATTTTGCAGCAAGAGCTGAGGTCGATCATCCTACGAAGCAGGTTCCGCCAGGTTATGATCATCGCAGATGTGGAGAAAATGTTTCGGCAGATGTGGATCACTCTGTTGGATACGCCACTCCAATGCATCCTTTGATTTGGACCGGATAACGAAGTTGTTACGTACGAGCTGATTACGGTGACGTATGGTACGAAACGGGCACCATTCCTAACTACTCGTACGCTCAAAAAATTGGCAGAAGATGAACGAGATTGGTTTCCACTTGCTGCTCAAACCGTTTACGAGGACGAATATATGGATGATGTGATCACCGGTGCGGATGATGTTGAGTCAGCTATCGAGCTGCGACATCAGATCGATGCCATGTTGATAAGCGGAGGATTCAGGTTGAGGAAATGGGCGTCAAATGCAGCGGAGGTGTTGAAGGACATTCCTAAGGAGGATTTGGCTCTACCCAGTGCACAAGGGATTGATTGGGACCGAGACGCAGCAGTCAAAACTTTGGGACTAACCTGGCTTCCCAATACAGATTGCTTCAAATTTCAATTCACCCTTCTTCCAGTCGCTGTTGATCAACATTCCACCAAACGGAGTGTACTAAGCATCGTTGCAAGATTGTTCGACCCGTTAGGACTGCTGGGTGCAGCAATTACGACAGCGAAGATATTTATGCAGCGGCTTTGGAGTCTGGAGGATGAGCAAAATCGAAAACTGAACTGGGACGACCGTTTACCGAAAACGGTGGGCGAGGAGTGGTGCAAATATCAACATCAGCTGCCGTTGCTGAATGAGTCTTTGAAGCAATATCTTTCGAATTCCACTGCTTCTCGGACGCATCGATGCTAGCCTACTACGGCTCTACTGTCTACCGTATGCGTGATAATGTTTGCACCATCGTCAAATAAGGTTCCCGTTTCACCTGTGCATGCAATGCCTTTGTTTTCTTTGCATGCACGTAACCCATAGCTCATACCGTAGTAGGCTGTGACGTTCGCATTTCTCGACGAAGGCTCTAGTTGAGAAACGCTTAGTTGACCAACTTGGAGTTGATGGTGATACGAGGCCGTTGTGTCTGCTGTGGACCGGGAACGTGACGAGAGTAGAGAAAGAATCCAAACAGGTATCATTGGTCATCTCAGCCGCGAAAAGAAGAAAGCATTCATTGGAAGAGGCCCGCACCGTGAACGAGTTGTCCCTACCGAAACAAACTCTATCGTACACCGATGCGGTTCCGAGGATACTGATTGTTGTCAACAACTTGAACTTGATGGTTCCTTTGAAGATAAGGGAAGGACGCAATCGCCAACCCGTCGCTGCGAAAACGAGACTAGGTTGGTGCATCTATGGCGGTGAAGGAGCTAATGAAGCGAGAGCTACGGTCAACTGAAATTCCAGTGTTTGCGCGTCAGATCAAGCTCTACACGATCTTGTCAAGGATTTCTTCACCACGGATGACGTCGGTACGCAGCCAGCAATGAATCTGCTATCCGAGGAAGATAAGCGTGCTCAACGGATCCTGGAGGAACCAACGGTTCGAGTCGGCACCCATTATGAAACCGGTCTTCTGTGGAAGTATGACCACATAGAGCTTCCTGACAGCTACAACATGGCTCTTCGTCGACTTGAATGCTTGGAGAGGAGGATGGATCGAAGCCCAGAACTCAAGAATGCCTGCAGAAACAACTAAAGGACTACCAACTCAAAGGCTACGCACACCGTGCGACCAAGGAGGAGCTAGCTACTGCTGATCCAAGAAGAGTATGGTATTTACCCTTTAGGAGCGGTGCTCGGAAGCCGGGAAAGGTCCGCATGATTTGGGATGCTGAAGCTGCTGTAAACGGGATTTCTCTCAACTCAGTACTATTGAAAGGTCCAGATCAACTGACGTCGCTTCCTGGCGTTCTGGTTCGCTTCCGACAGTTCAGTGTGGGCGTTTCAGCAGATTTAAAAGAGATGTTCCACCAGCTGTACATGCTCAAGAAAGATCGCCACTCGCAGCAATTCCTATTTCGCAGTGATCCTTCCAGAGCTCCAGACATCTATCTTATGGACGTTGCAACATTTGAGTCAACGTGCTCTCCGGCGTCAGCTCAGTACGTTAAAAACAAAAACGCTGATGAGTTCAAAGAGCTGTATCCCCGAGCCGCTGAAGGGATTGTACAGAACCACTACGTTGATGATTCTTTTGAGAGTTACGAAAGCGTTGAGGAGGCCATCAAAGTATCCCAAGAAATGCGCTATATTCACGAGCAAGGTAGCTTCGAGTTGAGAAATTGGCTGTCGAACAGTAGCGAAGCGTGACCTAGGAGAACCACAGTCCAAAGAAGGCAAGCAGCTCGCA